ATGAGAGAGAGAGACACGCACACACACATCAGACAAAGCAGATGAGTACACTTCAAGATAATAAATTAGTTACAAATGTGGCTCAAAGTGTAGCAACAATCAAGTGAAATGTACTTTATCTGTCAAACAACTGTTCACTGCTAGATGGAGGAAGAGGAATTCGCTGTAGTCCGAGTGCTGGAAGAATGAATAATTTAAATCACATTTACAGGATAATGCAGCTTGAACCTTGCTCAGCATGTATTTGCATTAGTGCTTATTATATCTACTTATCTGACCCTGATTGGTCTGTGTGAACCTCACAACTACCATGAGCCTGGAGAGCTGTTGGGTTTATGTCTCACTTATGTGTGTTGTGTTACTGCAAGAATGGGAGCAATGATCTAAGGTGGAGCAAAGTGATGATCAATTGCTCCTGGTGCAGTGGGGCCCAGGCTGATGAGAAACACAGTTTGTGGAGAGAAGAAGCCACGTCTATAAATCTCTTTTTTAATACCCCACAGTCATGTTTCCCCTCAAAACAATAATTCACAAACAGTCCAATAGTCGCTTCTCATAGGAAGGCCTATTAGATAAAGTCATTACCAAACAACCCAGAGGATTTCTCATGACCAGATGCACACATACTCAAAATCATAGAAGACATTTGTACATTAAACTTACTGACGCTCAAATACACATTTCACAAATGTTATACTAAGCAATTACCATGAGGAAATCAGCAAAAAGTGTGTGGCCTAGCTAACCATGTATAGCGGGTTTCCATTTGCACACAAACACTCAGGTAGACTGTAATTATGACTTCATTCTCACTATCTGAGTCATCTGTGGGCAGACGAGCCAATTCATTTTGAAAGTGATATTGAACAAAGCCTCTGCACAAACAGTAATCACAGCCCAATTGCCCACTCTGCAACAAAGGCAGAACGCGCAAGGCTATTTACTTCACCTCTGAATGAAATCTTGAGATACAACTCTCATTGTTTCAGCTTCATTTCAAAGGCTGGAATACTAATAAGCCAAAAGACCTCACAGCTATGAATGTGGAATGGAATGACAAACAAAAAAGCAATGTTTTAGATTTGGTGGTCCAAGTGGATTTCCCCTACCTGAAGCCTGTCTCCCAGTGATACCTTTGTCTTTGTCTGTCTGCATACACACACACACACACACACACACACACTAAAACACACATATAGGATTACATTTTGTTTTGTTTACAAGTTTTGGAATGCACGGTTGCATAATTACATACCTTTTAGGACTCGACTTTCTAACAGAAGGGGACATTTTAAGGTCTAGTCACACCAATGTTTAAATCAGCTACATTTTGTTGCATAATCATTAATTTGTGCAATCAGTGGATTTACTTATAGGGGTGAAACAATTAGCACAAAAGCTTTTGTGAACTTTGACACGAATTTACCCTGTTGACAAACCACAGTCTCACCACTGTCTACTTTTATTTATTTAACCATCCTCTGAATATAAACTGCTGTCTAAAAGAAAGGTTTGTTGGGAGTTATAATACAAGAGATGATAATACAAATATATCTTTGAACAAACTGTGTAAAGTTAGTGATCACGGCAAAGCTAACTGGTAAATGCTGTCACTTAGTATTCTTGTTAACTCAAAGAAGCTTTTGTTTTCATAACTCCCTACCGAAGGGTATTTCTGGCTTATTAGCATGTTAGCAGTTAGCTCAGCAGCAACAGTAGCTCACCTACTAGCCCTGCAATAGAGAATATGAAGGTCACACAGTGTTAAATGTTGGGATGGAGGCGCCATTTCTGGAGGTACACATTGCATTTACCTGCATACATTCTTGTTTTGTTTGGCTAAAAAGATGCTTAAATTGGTCAGATATCACTTTAGTGACTGGTAATTCAAAATGGATAACCTTGGCTGACTGTAGCTAACTCAGATCAGACCTATTGATCCAGTCTACGGACGTGACTGAAAAATTACTCTGCACACTGATCTCAGCTCAATTCAGGAGCTAACGCTAGCATGATGAGCCTTTCAACTTCCACTCTCCTTCCTGCATTAAAGAGCCCATGGCATGTTCATTTCCAGCCATTTAATGTTTAATCTTTGGTATCTCTGGATTAGCTTTGCACCCCTCATAACTCCAAATAGTCTGTAATTATTTCAGAATGATCAAACCAGAGAGCCTCTTCCTAAAAATGAAGGGATAGCTCGTGAATGCGACACACCCCCTGCTGCCGGTGTTGTGTCGAAAATGGACACTACCACAAACCACAACAGCATTAAGTCATTTGAATTTCTCCTCCATAGATAGGTAAACAATAGTATATGTACTGATGAAAAGGGTATTTGAGAAACCCCATATTTTAACTGGCATAATGCAGACATAGTAACTTCTCCAGCCTTGCAACAATTGTGTCTAATGTTGCAAAAACAACACATTAACAGACATGCAACATGCTTTTTTTTTTAACTTACTGTTAAGTCCCACCAAGCAGTGGAATCACTGCCTTTCAATTAGCTCCAAGGTAAGTAAATCCAACTGGTGGTTACTGCGTCTTCCCCCACGTGACCACATACATTCCCATAGTAGTGAATTTAATTCCAACAGGTAGCGTAGAGTCGACAATAACATCATAGGTTGTTATTCTGCTCCTTAACCAGCAACACATCACATGCAGCAGACACACTGGCTCAAGCAATCAAACCAAACAGGTGCTGTGTTCCAGGGGAATCCAGCGTTGATGAGCTGATCAGTCACCGCTGCGGGGGGGTTTCACAGACCAGCTGCTTGTAGGTTAGACCCGGTCAGGTAAAACAGTCAGTCAGGAACAGTCCTGGACATGCAGCAACCTCAGGCCCTTTATTTTTCTCCACATCCTCTGGTCACAGTGCAGCAGCAGGAGGTAAAATATAATCACCAAACCGGGTGCAGTGGAAAAACTCCGCTTTTAAAATGGCACCGGTGGATGTCAGGCAAGCTCACATGAACATACAACTTCCTGGAGATTATGCCCATTCAAGAAGATCCTTAAACTACCACGCAAGACTTAATTTTGTTAGAAAAAAGTCTCATGAGTGAGAGTTTGCGAGACATGTATAAGCCGAGTTGCTTCTGCATAGAAGTACTACAACATACGTATACCTCATTTTTTTTTTAGCTTTAGGTCACGTCTAAGATAATAATTCACCATTGTAACATTGTAGAAAACAAGGAAAAGCATGACATGGGCCCTTTAAGCTTTGTACATTTTCCACAGTCAAACCTCATTTCACAGCTTTAAGTCTATATGCTTGCAGAAGTGAGGGCTCTGAACAGACTCAATATTCTCCTAGGTGGCACATCACACAGACACACCGTGAAATCCAGCAGATGGCTCCATAAATGGAAAATGGCTGAGATGAGGTGCTTTCAACAGCCAAGGTATCTGCTTTGAACTAAGCTTGAGTGCATGAGATGAGAGGACATCACACATAGAGCCTGGCAGGGCTTATATCAGAGGTTAAGAAATTCAAGTCTTAAAATTCAGTATGTTATTTTTCTGACCGATATTCTAGCTGGCCTGCTGCAGTTTTAAAATCAAAACATCAAATTTAAAATTGGGACGAGGCACATGACCTCTTTTTAAAGACAGACTCTTGATGTCCCAGTGATCCATGGGAGCAGGGAACTTCTAAGAAATTTTCAAAGAAAAATTTGAGAGAAAATTGAGGTAACTGGGCAAAATGAAGTCTGACAAACTAGAGAGAGAGAGAGAGACAGGAGTTTCTTTTCAGATTTCAAACAGAGTGGAACCTCTCCAGAGTCAGATCATAACCCTGTTTTCATAACACACACTTTCCCTTCCTGGCAGGTGTGTAACCATGTGTCCATGATTTGTGTCTAAGAGTTCTTTTAACAAGTTGCTGTGACAAAGAGTTACTGTTTAGACTGGGAAGCGAGGGAAAGCCTGTCTCTTCTCTCATAACACATATTTAAACAGACAGTGGGAGCACTGGAACATAATGCAGGCCCCTGGGAACAAGAATTATGAAACTTAAATACTTAAATCCATAGCATACACAGTAACATCCAAACTACTCTTTCTGAACTGTGCTCCTTCTCATACCACAAAAACACAGCTGTTACACAGACACAGCTACAGTACTTTTTGATACAGCTGCTTTCTACAGGAACTATTCAGTGCCATAACAAACTCTTCTATCAGCAGTGGCGATCCAACAAATGGAGCCAAAATAGCACACCCTGTTGTGATACCACATAAGACCCATAATACTTCTAGGTGCCATGTGCAAGACTGCATATGAGAAATTAATTACCTCAGGTACCTGGCCTAAGACCTGCTCAATAATATCTGGCAAAAGCAGCCTGAGAGAAGACCCAACAGGGACCAAAGGCAATTAGCTTCACATTCAGAAGGTCAGTTCCTGTAGCTCTTGCGTATGTACTTTACTTAAAATAAGATCAGTCAGAAGGCAACTTCTCTGATCTCCTCCATATTGTCAACAAGTCTTCTGTTGTATTTTATCAATATTTAAAACAACTTCCATATTTTATAACTGACCTAATCAGAAAACCCAAATTCATCATGACAAATTACTTTTGTAAATATTTGCTTTTTAGTTTGAGAGAGCAACAGCATAGAGAATAGTTCCATTTAAAAAAAAAAAGTGACACATTACAAGATGACGACATGTGAGGAGCGGTTTAACTGCTGCCTCAACTTTTCCCGCGCTGCCCATGCCGGTGTCATCACAGTCATGAATACCACAGAACATATACATTGCCAAACAGATTTCCATCCCGTGTTTCAAATGTTTACAGAATTTCATAGTAAATTCAAATCTTACCACAACCTAGAACAAGTGGTGGCATGTCACAATCAGACTGGGTCACTTCTGCTGGTTGGTTTCCTTTTCTGGTATTAACAGCCAGAACGTGTCGGAAGCTCGCTCAGCAGTTAACATTGAGAAAATGTGTTGGTAGTGTAGTAGTGTACATGATACTTACGATCCAAGCCGTTGATGTACTTCATTGATATCTCACAATGTCCCCACACAGCACTGACAATGGGATACAGCTTCTTGCCCTTCAGCCCTCTAAATGCCACTCCTAGATACTGTCCGTCCACCATGAAGCTCAGCGTCCCTTCGTCCATGTCCAGAATCACTAGCAGACAGTCCGACAGGGTGAATGGCTCCTCTGGCTCCAGGGAACAAGGGTAAGAAGGCATCGAGCTGTGGGCCCGGTTCTTACTGTCATGGTAGAGCCGGTTCCTTCCCAGATCCCAGCCCCAGGACTCACAGTCTGACCCTACCAATGCTGTGTACCCAACAGAATGTAATGGCGCTTCTGACGTTGCCACTCCAACCACGGCATGGGTGCCTCGCTGCCGGGCAGGCCAATGGATCTTCCACACATGAAGACCCCTTGTGTATCCAACACGGCCTCGAATGCAGTCTGTGCTTTGGGCAACTGGGTGGCGATGAAATGTCAACTTATCATCCTCTTTGATGAAGATGTTGAGTGAGCGGTCATCGGGGTTCCATGCGTGACGAAGCTGGGTCTCTAGTCCAGCACATGGCATGTCCAGTAGAAGATCTAGCCTCGGAGGCTTAGAGAAATCAGGGCCCCTCAGTTCTGGGTGGGGCCGGCGATGAGGCAAGGGCCGGTAGGATGGAGAGCTACCACTTTCACTGCGACCATCTACTGATTTAATGCTGCCAGAAATCTTCTGGCCCATGGCTGCGATGAAAGGGTTGGCAGGAGGAGGGGGGAGGGTGGTGTTTGTGCAGGTGAGTGCTGCGCTGCGCAGAGCTTGACGTTACCTCATCAATGTGGCAGAACACAGGTGAGAGTTCATAACTGGGGAGTGGAGGGAGATGAAGGAGGAGGTGATGAATGAAAAATGGGTGTGATCTGGTTTCATGCCACAAATGTCTTCAGAAAGACAAAGCTGCTGCTGCTCCTGTTGAAAGACCAGAAAAAAATAAAGTTAATAAATAGTTATTAACCCCTCTAGTTGTTAACCACCACTTATTTGCAGCAAACTATAGTCTAAGGAATGAACTAAAAAAAAAAAGATTACAAGATACAAAGAGGTGATGATTGAAAGAGAAGGATGTCGATGGTAAGTGTTGGCAAAACTCTTTGTTTCACAGATTGTCTGTGGCTTCATTTTGATAATGAACAGCAGGACAAGCACATACACACACATTGGCACAAATGCACACATATTTCCTCTGACTTGCCCTGCATCCTCCCAGCAAAACCATGTGTCAATACCAATACATGCAAACCTCCAAACATTCCCCAGTAGAGCAACAATGGCCAGATTTGAAGCTGACACACTGCCATTTAGGTAATGTCATTATAATGAGTTTTGCCTGAGTCTGCAAAGATATCAGCTCAGCAGGAGGAAAACAAAAGCACCAGGTAATAATTTATCTACATTACTTTGTGAAACTGCACCCTTGCACCCTCACACTGAGTATCTGAGTGCAGTACATGTAGCAGGCAGCACAAGTGTTTGTATACATGACCAAGTCCTACCAAGAAATCACCGTGGCTAATTCAGTGTTTCATTTTTAGAAGGTAATTTCCACTTTTATGCAATTTTCAGTGTAATATGCCAGAGAGTTTTGGTTTAGTTTTTATTCAGTTTTAGTTGATTTCACTTCCAATTTTGGTTTAATGGGGTGTGGGGCTATATAAAAACAAAAACCTAACTATTAAAAATCTATGTTCAATTGTTGATTCTGAAATGAGTATTAGTATAAATGCATATCTTTTTAAATGTCTTTTAATAAAGAAATCATAAAGAAAATAACTAAAATATACAAAGTTTACCCACAAACTAGTAAAAATGTTCAAATTAATTGTCTAACATTGTTATTTTACTTAGCATCATGTAGAGCCACTAAAAAGGTGATCTTGCACACAGACAGTTCCGCGTGGGTTAACTGGCGGCTTGTGCTTCCTGTTCTCAGGAAGAGTAAGTCACACTTTGGGCAGACAGGGAAGTGGATGAATGACGACATTCTTCACACATCTCGTGTATCTGCTGTGCTTCTCTGTACCTCTTCCAGCGAAATCTGCAATGTACAATTTTTTTTTATCTGTAAACTGAAGTGATGCTTCTTCTGGTAAAAGTGCCTCACGCCTTGATAGGAGTGACGCAGAGCTTTTTTATGTATCAGCAATGTACTGTGGAGAGCTAGAGTAAAAAAAAAAGGGTAGAGACAGAGACAGAAGGTCAGACTGCTGTTGATACTATAGTGTTGTTAATGCATCTCTGTTTGGTTTATTGTCTTTCTATACATGAATTAGCTGCTTAAGCCTGGAAAGCCAGCAGCAATATTGAGCTGGAAATACCCTTCAGAAAGTACATCCTGCACACAAAGGCCACTGCAATGTAAGGTGCAAGAAGGTTAATATAAAAATATATACAGGGGTTTTCTTTTTAAAGACAGATGACTCCAATGCAAATATTCTCACCAAACCAGTCTGACACCCCACCGCAGAGTGAGGTCATGGTGTTATTGTGTGAAATTTCTAAGCCCTCCACACACACATTGCGCACACACACACAGAGACACAGAGCTCCATCTCATTTTGACTTTCTACATTTTCCCTCTCTGTCTCTCTTTCTCTTTCTCTTACTGTGAATGAGGTCACAGCAGCTGGCAGCCAATGTGTGCCCCCACTCAGTTCACTCCTCAGCAGGAGAAGGTTGAGTGCCCAGACACAAACAGCTGCCTCAGTGTGTCATCATGGCTGGCAGGTGGGTTAGGGGTGGACGCTGCTTGGAAGATTCAAGAGTCATCCCTGCCAAACTTCAGTCAAAGAAAAGACTGTTTAACATTGTACAAACTCTCATTGTGCTTGTGCGCACATCTCAACTGACCCAGTCTGACACAGCATGCGGATGACAATCTGGCATTATGGGCTGTGATCAAGGAGGCACACCCGACCTCTGACCCCGTGTCACCACTGTTGCGTAGTAACCTCTCGACTAGCTGGTGGTGGGCTGGCGCGGCGTCTGCTGCTGCGAATAGTGGCAACATGCTTCTGCCATCTGTTGTTTACTTTTCCTCCCTCCTTACTTCTCCCTCCAACTCTCTCTTCTTCTGCGGCCAATTCATTTAGGACCGACCGCACTTGTTCCCCCTCCCTTCATCTCTACTTTCAGCTGACTCAGACAAGTACAGACAGGACAGTTAATCACATTACACAAAGATATACACAAATGGAAATGATATGATTTAGTGCCATAACTAATAATTATTTTCCTTACCTATAAACTGAATGATGATTCAATTTTATTGATAAACTGAGTATTTTGTCTAGAAAACAAAGGATTTCCAAAAGTCCAGTAATGATATCTTTGTCTGACCAACAATCTTTGTATCACATAGAATACTAGAAATTTTTCCTGAGTTTGTAAAAGCTGTAACAAAAGAAGTTGACATTTTACTTGAGAAAGAACAAGAATATTTGATGAATCAACTCAATTCCTTCAGCACTATGATTTTCAGCTTGCTTAAAACAACACAAATGAGTTCCACAGTCAAAAGGATGTTGGGGCAGAAATGACCAGGAACGTGGAAGAATGAGGATAAAGGATAAAGAGGTAGAAAAATGAGGTGAATTTGATACACACTTGACCAAAATATAACATTTTTTTGGAGAAGTTCAGCAAAAAAGAAGGTGAATGTGAGAAAGTGAAAACTAGTTTCAAGGCCTCATAAAAAAGTGGAAAAGGGTGAGATAAGGAGAGAGACATGGTGGGAGGATTGGCCTCATCTGGCTTCTCCTGCTGCACCACAACAAACTCCAGTCAGTACAAAGCATGTGAGGGCTGTGTGTGCGCGCGCGCCTGTAAATGTTTTACATTGTACAAGAGGACAACACAGTGTGTGTGTGTCTGCCTCACAGACTGTGTTTCGTTTAAAACTGTCCAACAAGCTGTGGCTGGGCAGACGGGCTTTGAAGTCAGAGCAGGGATAGGAAACCACTGAGGAACCTCTCACTCATCCTGCACCAGCGTCTGAGAACAAACCAGACGTCTGTGGGCTTCTCCACAAAATATCATGTCAGATTCTCCAGAGGATCCAAAGCACTAAGTATTGAAATAATGACTAAGAGAAACCAAGGTTGCCACGTAATGTTGAATACAGTAATACGCTTATTCACTCTAAGAGTTATCCAAGAAGATAACTCACACACTCATATTTGTCTGCACAGCAGTAGCTGGTTGGCTCAGTCTAGCATAAAGACTGAGAAAGAAAGTTCACCTGCCGTACCAGCACGGCCACAGTGCCCCCATCCATAGGGCACGGGGGTCAATGAATGGTTTGATGGGTATGAAAATGATGTGGCTTATGCTACGGCCTTCACGGTTGCCAGGCTCAACCGAGTTGAACACCTATGGGAGGTTTTGGAGCGATGTGTTAGAGTCTCCGCCACCATCATCAGAACACCAAATGAGGGGATATCTTTTGGTAGAATGGTGTTCACCCCTCCAGTTCAGAGACTTGGAAAATCGATGCCAAGGAGCACTGAAGCTGCTCTGGTGGCACAACCCCTTACTGATACACCTTATATCGATATTTCCTTTAACTTGTCAGCTGAAGATGCTCCCTCCGTGTTCTAGTTTTTATGCTAAACTAAATGGCTCCTGGCTGAACCAGCACATTGAACAGAGAGATACGTGATTTGCATAAATCTTATCTCTCAGCCAAAAAAAAAAAAAAAAGCATATTCCTTTAAGACATTTCCATTCACCTTGAAGCAAAAAGGTTATGACCTGCTGCCACAAAGCTGAACTCAGTTTTAGCCAAACTTAATGACTTGCCCCTAGGACAACTGCTAAAACAGGCATATTAATTTGGAAAGAGT